AAATGATAAAAGAGGATGTATAATATATTTTATTTACTATAATTAACTAAAATGTTCAATAATCTTATTTTTATGCTAAAAGATATTTACCATCGTTAGAAATAAGCGTTAAATTAGGGGAAATTTTAAGTTTGTTAAAATCTGGAAGGAAAGTGCTACCGTAACCAACCACAACAGCTGTACCGTTGAATTCTTGGCCTTGCGTTGGCAATTTTGCTGGTTGTACTTTGTCGTTAAAGGTCAGTGCTTCAGCTAACTGAAGCAGACCAACATCATTTGGACCGAGTCTGGAAAAAAAATTGGTATATTTACATACATTTTGGATGAACGTTTCAGGACAATCATTTAAAGTTCTTCTAAAAGAAAGTTACAAGAACTTACCCTTCGGTGTAGTTAGGATAAACATGTTTAGCTGCAATTTTAACGGTAACTTTGCCTTTTCCGCGTAAGTCAGAAACTCCAACAGCAACCTTTTGAGCGTCATTTGCACAACTACCACTGGTCAATACCCAGTTTTCGTTGACGATTACAGCACCGCAAATGTGTTCGCAAAGGCCTAAAACACAATATTGGATGGAAGCTACGAATGGATATTCCTCTATTGTGGTTTCAGTGCCACCTTCAATATTCAGGTGCTTGTTGGTGAATTTGGCATTTGGTGCTCCTAAAAAAAGTGTTAATTAGAAATTGAACCAATTTTAGAATGTATAGGGAAAATAGAGTTAAGCTGTATAAAGATTGAGTAACTCACGAAAGGTTAAGCAAGTCTGAAAATCTAGAACAGACACTAAAAGAAGAAGAGGAAGAGCAATGCAAAACGTAAAATACTGTAATAGATAAAATACTACGAGAAAAATAAATGACAATCAGAAGCGGTTAGAATAGCAACAAACAAGAAAGCATGGCGAGAATCTGTGCATGGAAGTAGAAGCAACATATCCCACATCTTACAGTAGACGTATATTTTTAAATAATCCTGCAGTAGTGAAATTGCCAAAATCTAAATTAAATGTAAAAGCGGAATATCATAGTTTTTTTTTGATTAGTGATAAAAAAAGGTAAAGATATAATAATTGAAAGTTAAATAAAAAAAGATGGTTTGTTTCTCTGTTATCGAAGAGGACAGAAACCCTAGGAAAAAGCAAAGCAGAGTAGATTACGACCAAATAGATCAGATAAATTAGACCAGGTAGATTCCAGAAGGAGAGCACAGGAAATCAGGCAAGAACCAAGCCGTAGGAAAGGGAAGATAAAAGAGAAAATATTTGTGTTTTTTATTAAGTATTTTTTTATAAATGCATGTCGGTCATACATGACTGACATAGCTATACAGGGTGTCATTGAAATAGTGTAAAAAAATTCGGGAGGTGATAGTACTCCTAAAACTAGTAAAAAAAGTTCCTATAACTATGGGTCGTTAAATACATATTAAGGGATTTAGGGGCGTGAAAAGGGCAAACTTGGAAAGTGGTTTTTTTGAAATTGTAAGCTTAAAAACACGATAAAACTTCGAAAAAAATCCCTGTCGACATAAAATTTACTGCTGAATCCAATGGAAATATCGAAAAAGGGTAGTTTTTGCAAGGGTAAGGGGTCGATTTATGATTAACTTTTTAGGGGTTGATTTTTTACAACGTGGGTCTATTTTTTAAAAACAACTACCTTTTTTCCATAAAAAAGTTACTCTTATTGCAAGTCGCTTAAAGCAACCGTTTTCGAGAAAATTGAAGGCAAAGAGTTTGGTAAACCTGTAGTTAAAAAACGAAAAATAAAATTACTTATTTTTTTATGGGTATCTCACAGATTAATAAACATAAATTTATAAAAATAGTGACGTGTTAAACTAATCAACCTCCCAAAAAACTCATAAACACTAAAGAAAAAAAATATTTTCAAGTAATGTCGAAGAAATGTTATTATGAAAAATTATTTTTTGTCAGTGGGTTAATTTGTTTCTCTCAACTTTACAATCGGAAGGTAAGTGGCAACCCAAACCCCAGAAGAAATTTGTGGGCACGCCACTGTCAATGAATACTTTTTGTAAATGGAATAATCAAATTAGGACAGAACAATAGCCTTATCACAATTTTTTTATTTTAATTTAGCAAAAAGAAATTGTAAATAATTTTGCCTAAAATTATTCTGGTTTTTAAGTATTTCTGTCACTTTCTTGTTGTTGAAGTGTACGTGAGCGTAATATACCAGAAATTTTGGAATACACTGTACTTGAACTAACAGATATGCATTTTCTTTATGGAAGAGCGAATGGAAACGATTTTTTAGCTAAACGTTTGTATATTCAAAAATATCCAAATCGCAGAGCACCCTCTCATAGGATATTTGCCAGAGTCCATCAGCGCCTGAGAGACGAAGGTTCATTTAGTAACAGGCACCATCATCGCGGCTGTAATGTTACAGTGCGTACACCAGCAATTGAAGAGCGAATTTTAAGAAGTCTAGAGGAAGATCCAGGAATTATGTAAGGAGAATTGTAGCGCGAGAAAACGAGTGGCCATACTGTGTGTATGACTCTTCATACTCAACTGCTGTATCCATACCACATCCAAAGGGTACAAGCCCTTAATCCTCCAGACTATCCCGCTCGTGCCAATTTCTGTCGTTGGTTATTAAGAAAACTGGTAGAAGATCCCTTTTTTCTGTCAAACATTTTATGCACTGATGAAGCAGGGTTTACCAGAAATGGGATTGTTAATTACCACAACACCCATTACTGGTCCGATCAAAATCCTCATGCTGTCATAGAAAGCCGACACCAAGTTCGATTCTCAGTAAACGTTTGGGCGGGAATTCTTGGAGATAGACTTATTGGACCATCCTTTCTATCCAATAGGTAAATTTTAAAACTGTTCAAACGTCACCAATTCCTAATTATTATTATTCTTTTAGGCTTAATGGACAAAATTACCTTCATTTTTTGGTAAACCATTTACCAATACTTTTGGAAGAAGTTCCAATAGCACAGAGGCAGATTATGTATTTTATGCACGATGGTGCACCACCTCATTTTCCACTAGCCGTGAGAAATCATTTAAATCAAGTTTTCGAGAGGCGTTGGATAGGACGTGGTGGTCCACAAGCTTGGCCAGCCAGATCACCAGATCTTAATCCACTTGATTTCTACTTATGGGGTCACTTAAAAGCTTTGGTTTACTCAGTGCCGATTAATACTGAAGAGCAACTACGACAACGAATAATTGACTGCTCCAATCAAATTCGTACAACGCCAAGGATTTTCGATAGGGTACGCAGATCCTGGAGGAGAAGAGCAGGTGTCTGTATTGAAATGAATGGTGGCCACATTGAACATTTACTTTAAATAAAAGAGTCAGACTGATATGATAAAAAAATACGGTACTTTCCATAATAGTAATAAAATATTTTTCACTTTAATTTCTCACTCTTTTATTATTTAAAATAATTTCGGAGCTTCTCTTGTTTAACAGGGCGATTTGGTAATTCTAAATTGAAATAACCACGCCATAATTGTCATAAATTTATGTTGATTAACCTGTGAGCAACCCATCAAAAAATAAATACATACTTGTTTTTCAAATACGGGTTCAGTAAAATGTTTGCCTTCAATTTTCTCGAAAACCATTGCTTTAAGCGACTTGCAATAAGAGTACCTTTTTTATGGAAAAAAAGGTAGTAGTTTTTAAAAAATAGACCCATGTTGTAAAAAAATCAACCCCTAAAATGTTAATCATAAATCGACCCCTTACCCTTGCAAGAACTACCATTTCTGATTAAATAAGTAATTTTTCGATATTAACATTGGATTCAGCAGTAAATTTTATATCAATAGGGATTTTACAATTTCAAAAAAACCACTTTCCAAGTTTGCCCTTTTGACGCCCCTAATTCTCTGTATGTGTTAACTATATATGAATGACAAGGTGGTCAATGAGTTATAATAATTAAAATATTATTGATCTTTAGTTTGTAGAATTCTTGGATAGCATATGGCTTCAGCATTCTATTATGCACTATAATGTTAAATAATTCAAATATGTAAAAATGGCCAAAAATATTAAGAAACATGCAACCTTTACTTACCATAGCACAGTGCTACAACAGCAAGAAAGATAACTTTAGCACTGAACATTTTGTTTTGTCTCACAAAATAGTTTTTTACGGTGTATTATTTATAGGAATATTTTCAAGTAGGTATAGTCCTTAAAAAATTGATTGGCACTTTTATCGATCTAATTAAACAAAGTTAAGGAATTACATATATATCTATGTAAATTTATGTTTAATTCTCATAGATAGCAAGTACGTTTGAACCCTAAAGATACATATCTATGGTGTCAAATCAATACTTTCGAATTTTTACTTTTTCCCATCTATAGAAATTAATTTGAAACAAAATAATAACAAAATAACCACATTCATAGGTCACTCATATATTTATTAACTTATCAACATTATTTATCAAATATTCATTTGGCTGTATTAGGATTAGGTAATCAAGACAGTTTAAGGTTCCTACTGTAAAATGTTTAATTTGGACATACGAGGAATTGATTTGAGACCATCGATATAACATTTTAACATTTAACATTTTTTATCGGGAATAGATCGAGTGTCGAAGTTTTGTTTGTTATACAGAACCAAACCAACGAACAAACCAACACATAGAACGTCGAAGGTAATACACATCTTAGTACCACTTGAATATTGATACTACCTAACCTAACATTCGTTGTTGCCGTCTTATTATAAACCAAGAGATGATTACTGTATTTTTTAACAATAATTAGTTTATAAACAGTGTTGTCAGATGAATTTTTCCAAAGGCGGTATAACTTTGCTCGAAATAGCGGTAGAAAAACGGTATATGGAGAACAACGCGACGAATGGCGACATCTAGCAGCAAATTGAAGCGAATTTGACAAATATTCCTTTAAATATCTTTTTTGTATAGTGTATAGTTTAATTAAGTATTATAATACATTTTTATTAATTACATATTGGTACTTAAAATTGAATTGTTTCTCCCACATTTGAAATAAATAACGATGTTGAAATTACAGAAGTTGTATTTAATAATAAATCTTCAGAGGACATTTTAATTTGTGCAATTGCATTCTGGAAGAAGGTTATTTTTAAATGTTTAATTGCAAGTTATTGTTAGATCTTGTATATATGTTTTATTATTTATACTTCGTTTATCTTATTCAGGTACTTTTATTTTTTATTAATAAAATGCCTATATGTTTCATATTAAATTGGTTTTAGGTTTTTTTTTTCTAAATTCACAAATATATTTCTTATTACAATTTTTACCAAGTCAATACTATTTAAAAATATAATTATTAAAATATGTGTATTTAAAAAATTAGGTAATAAAATATATTATTGTTTTAAAAAAATTATACAATTTGACTATTTTCGGTAATGGTTTGGTTGATCCAGTTGGCAAAATTAGAAAGCTTGGTGAATAAATTTGGAGCTCCGTTGATACCGCATTTGTCAATGAGTAATGTCACGGTACCGATTACGGTTCCGTCTTGAAACAGAGGAGCACCGAGGTCACCATCGCAATTGTTTGATTTTTCGTTTAAAGTACATACGTTGCTGTCGTCATCAACAGCATTATATACGCCTGGGATGAGTTTTTCGATGGCTGCGTTACATTCTAAAACGATAAAAGAGAATATATAGTATATTTTATTTACTATAATTAACCAAAATATTCAATAATCTTATTTTTATGCTAAAAGATACTCACCATCGTTAGAAGCAAACGTTAAATTAGGGGAAACGTTAAGTTTGTTTGAGCTACCGTAACTAACTACAACGGCTGTACCGTCGAATTCTTGGCCTTTCGTTGGCAATTTTGCTGGTTGTACTTTGTCGTTAAAGGTCAGTGCTTCAGCTAACTGAAGAAGAGCAATATCATTTGGACCGAGTCTGGAAAAAAATTGGTATTTTTTTACATACATTTTGGATGAACGTTTCAAGACAATCATTTAAAATTCTTCTAAACGAGAGTTACAAAAACTTACGATGAGGTGTAGTTAGGATGAAGATATATAGCTGCAACTTTAACGGCAACTTTGTCTTTTCCCTGTAAGTTAGAATCTCCAACAACAACCTGTTGAACGTCATATGCAAAAGTACCACTGGTCAATACCCAGTTTTCGTTGACGATTACACCACCGCAAATGTGTCTGCAAATGTCTTCTGAATAACACAATTGAACGGAAGCTACGAATGGATATTCCTCTATTGTGGTTTCAGTGCCACCTGCAATATTCAGGTGCTTGTTGGTGAATTTGGCATTTGGTGCTCCTAAAAAAGTGTTAATTAGAAATTGAACCAATTTTAGAATGTATAGGGAAAATAGAGTTAAGCTGTACAAAGATTGAATAACTCACGAAAGGTTAAGCAAGTCTGAAAATCTAGAACAGACACTAAAAGAAGAAGAGGAAGAGCAATGCAAAACGTAAAACACTGTAATAGATAAAATACTACGACAAAAATAAAAGACAATCAGAAGCGGTTAGAATAGCAACAAACAAGAAAGCATGGCGAGAGTCTGTGCATGGAAGTAGAAGCAACATATCCCACATCTTACAGTAGACGGATATTTTTAAATAATCCTACAGTTGTGAAATTGCCAAAATCTAAATTAAATGTAAAAGCGGAATATCATAGTTTTTTTTTTTTTTTGATTAGTGATAAAAAAAAGGTAGATATAATAATTGAAAGTTAAATAAAAAAAGGATGGTTTGTTTCTCTGTTATCGAGGAGGGCAAAGAACCTAGAAAAAAGCAGAGCAGAGCAGATTACAACCAAATAGATCAGATAAATTAGACCAGGTAGATTCCTGAAGGAGAGCACAGGAAATCAGGCAAGAACCAAGTCGTAGGAAAGGGAAGATAAAAGAGAAAATATTTGTGTTTTTTATTAAGTATTTTTTTATAAATGCATGTCGGTCATACATGACTGACATATACAGGGTGTCATTGAAATAGTGTAAAAAAATTCGGGAGTTGATAGTACTCCTAAAACTAGTAAAAAAAGTTCCTATAACTATGGGTCGTTAAATATATATTAAGGGATTTGAGGGCGTCAAAAGGGCAAACTTGGAAAGTGGTTTTTTTAAAATTGTAAGCTTAAAAAACACGATAAAACTTCGAAAAAAATCCCTGTTGACATAAAATTTACTGCTGAATCCAATAGTGATATCGAAAAATTACCTATTTAATCAGAAAGGGTAGTTCTTGCAAGTGTAAGGGGTCGATTTATGATTAACTTTTTAGGGGCTAATTTTTTTACAACGTGGGTCTATTTTTTAAAAACCACTACCTTTTTTCCATAAAAAAGTTACTCCTATTGCAAGTTGCTTAAAGCAACCGTTTTCGAGAAAATTGAAGGCAAAGAGTTTGGTAAACCTGTAGTTGAAAAACGAAAAGTAAAATTATTTATTTTTTGATGGGTATCTCACAGATTAATAAACATAAATTTATGGAACTTGTGACGTGTTAAACTAATCAACCTCCCAAAAAACTTATAAACACTAAAGAAAAAAAATATTTTCAAGTAATGTCGAAGAAATGTTATTATGAAAAATTATTTTTTGTCAGTGGGTTAATTTGTTTCTCTCAACTTTACAATCGGAAGGTAAGTTGGCAACCCAAACTCCAGAAGAAATTTGTGGGCACGCCACTGTCAATGAATACTTTTTGTAAATGGAATAATCAAATTAGAACAGAACAATATTCTTATCACAATTTTTTTATTTTAATTTAGCAAAAAGAAATTGTAAATAATTTTGCCTAAAATTATTTTGGTTTTTAAGTATTTCTGTCAGTTTCTTGTTGTTGAAGTGTACGTGAGTGTAATATACCAGAAATTATGGAATACACTGTACTAGAAGAGCGAACGGAAACGGTCTTTTAGCTAAACGTTTGTATATTCAAAAATATCCAAATCGCAGAGCACCCTCTCATAGGATATTTGCCAGAGTCCATCAGCGCCTGAGAGACGAAGGTTCATTTACAGGCACCATGATCGCGGCCGTAATGTTACAGTGCGTAGAGTAGAACAAACTTAAGTTTGGGACAGCAAATGTTGGTTGCATACTAATCTGCGCATATAGGCGGGCTTTGTTTGTCAGTGGCGGGGGACGAAAATAAATGGAATAATACAAGTATTACAAATTAAAAATTTAAAAAAACCGACTTTAAAAACGTGCAGATGCCACATCTTAACCAAATTTATATGGGACCACCCCTGAGGTACCCCCTTACTAACAAAAAATGAATCGTATAAATCGGACAAGGTGGTAAAGCATTATCGCTAAACATACATAAAAAATGAAGAGTTTGAGGATTTTCTCATGGATCCAATTATTAGATTTTGACAAAATTTATATGGAACCACCCCTACAGTAGCCTCTTTCTAACAAAAAAAGAATTATTGAAATCGGACACCGTGTTAAAAAATTATCGCTGAACATACATAAAAAATGAAGAGTTTGAGGATTTTCTCATGGACCCAATTATTAGATTTTGACTAAATTTATATGGGACCACCCCTGAAATACCCCCTTTCTAACAAAAAAAGAATCATTGAAATCGGACACCGTGTTAAAGAATAATGGCTGAACATACATAAAAAAAAAAATATCGCGACGAATTGATAACCTCCTCCTTTTTTAAAGTCGGTTAAAAATAGAAATACTTTTTTATGCATGTAATTATCAAAATTCGAAAGGTAATTAATTTGCTTTGTACAATAGGTACGTAAGTTGTTATGCTTTTTTAATTTAGAATACACATGCAGGTTACTAAATGTACTTAATTGTATCCACTAAACAACCTAACTTACAGCGTATATTTTAAATTATTGTAAGTTTGTCATAAAATGTAGTTTTGGAGAACTTGTTAACTGCAATAAAGTACATGTATCTACGTAGCAATAGGTATTTTATAAAAAATTAGCATAAGCAAGTTTTTAAAATAAAAGGATATTTTTTAAAAATTGTTGGTTTTTTACTTTTACTAGATACTTAAATTAACATAATTTTTTTTTTATAGACATTTAATACATAAGAGGAGAAAGGTACAAATTAGAAATAACAATAAGAATGTACACTACGATGCCTCATCGGACGATTCTGAATCTAAGAATTCTATTCCTAAACTATCAGAACTCTCATGATCTTCAGTAAAGCTTTCCTCCTTATTGTATTGTGAGATGCCACCCAGTTTTTAACCAAGGCCCATATTTTTCAAATGGGGTTAAGTTTTGGACGATATGGTGACAAGCGAAGAACTTTATGTCCGTGTTCTTCTAACAGCTTATCCAATACGTATACAGGTGAAAACCATGGTTTATGTTCTTGAATAATTTTGTATGTTGGTGTTTTTACTTACACCTGTCCCTGCTAAAATCCGTTCTCTGAAAATATATTGAAAATCCTATTTTATTTTTACTATTTTAATAATTGTTTAGTTCTTTTTATTGTCCAACAAGTAAATAGCACAACCAAACACGAAATGTTACAATATAAAATACAATATCCCACTGCCTGCAGGTATAGAATATTTTAAAGAAACTCATTTTAAATGAATGATTATTGTTAGAATTAATTGTTTCAGCCTATAGGTACTCTGTGAAATTATGTCAATACAGCAGGAGCATAAACATTTTTTAATTTCACAATGGTATCGTATCTGTATAGTTCCACATAATTAAAATATTATTATGTAATTAAAAATACTCACCTTAATTTCTTTAAAGGTATCAATTAATAGGTACGTCCTTGGTAGCATTCAAGTGGGCTGCTTCTTCTTCCATAAATTTCGAAATATTATTAATGATTTCTTTTGTAAGACTGCATAATCCCTGTCCCCTTCTACCAATTTTTTTCGGAGCCATATCGTCCAAATCACTTTTATTTCTAAATTAATTATGTAGATACTATAACTAAACTTATACACTAACTATTATTGCTACTCTACTATAACTACTATGGCACTAAATTAAAAAAATAAGAATAAGGAAATACACCACTTGAATAAAAAAGAGCTGTGTTAGATGAGATGCAAATTGTTTCACCTATTCGCCTCTTTACGCTACGGTACTGGCCATCGCCGTGTTAGAGGTTGGCATGGTAACGACAGTCAACAAATCTACGGCGCAACCATCGGATCGACACGTGGGTGTACCAAACGTAAGTTTGTTTTACTCTACACCAGCAATTGAAGAGCGAATTTTAAGAAGTGTCCCAGATAGCACAGGACGTCCCATGGACGTCCTGATTTGGTCCCTTGTTGGTCCGGTTGGTCCCGGACCTAAATAGGACGTCCACTGGACTTCCGATTACAGTTAACACTAGGACGTCCTTAGAAGGACGTCATCTGGACGTCCTATTTTGGTCCCGTTTCGACAAAGCGTTTAGTTTTCGGTCCGAGTCCGGGACGTTAATGGGACGTCCAAGGGACGTCTATGGGACTTTCTATGCACTAGCATCGTTGGTCTTTGAATCGATAACTTGAAATTCAACGTTTTGATTTTGCAAGAGTATGAGGACAGAAAACCTAACCTATCATTTATTTTCAAATGAACAACAATAGCTACAATTTTCGGCATTCAATAATTAACTTAAATAAGTGAGTTAGATTAACGAAGAAAAAAGAAGGTTATATAGTGTTATTTGTTATTTTTTTGATGCTGGTGGTAAAGTGGTTATAAAGTGAAGTGAGTGTTTTGTGTTGATGTGAGAATAAGTGATGTGTATTGTCGGTAGCCGCTGGCGGAAAGAAAATACCTTAATGGCGGAAAGTTGGAACAAAACTAATTTGGACAAAATTATAATACTCAGTTTTGTCGACACAAGCTATAAGTAGGACCCAAGGTTTCATCTTGCCAGCACTGTGTGTTAAATTTAATTCATTCCTGTTTTTTTTTTGTAAACTGAAAACGTTTAACTCTAGCTAGGTTTTTTAGGATAAAAGTTGTTAAATACAGCTCTTTTATTGTTAACATTTTTGTTATTATTACCCTTTATGGATTATGGTCAAATATCGTCCCTCGGACGTCTGATTTACGTCCCTAGGACGTCCCGCAAAGGTCCCTATGACGTCCTTTTGGGATGTCCCAGGGACGTCCCTAAGGGACGTCCCTAAGATGGACAGAAACGGGACATTAGGACGTCCATGGGACGTCAGATTGACGTCCCGGTACCAAAATAGGACGTCCCTCGGACGTCCTTTATGTCCCTAAAGGACGTCTTTTAGACGTCCATAAGACGTCCGTGTGCTATGTGGGGTAGAGGAAGATCCAGGGTTATCTGTAAGGAGAATTGCAGCGCGAGAAAACGTGAGTCGCCATACTGTGTGGATGACTCTTCATACTCAACTGCTGTATTCATACCACATCCAAAGGGTACAAGCCCTTAATCCTCCAGACTATCCCGCTCGTGCCAATTTCTGTCGTTGGTTATTAAGAAATCTGGTAGAAAATCCCTTTTTTTCTGTCAAACATATTATGCACTGATGAAGCAGGGTTTACCAAAAATGGGATTGTTAATTACCACAACACCCATTACTGGTCCGATCAAAATCCTCATGCTGTCATAGAAAGCCGACACCAAGTTTGTAGGGAAAATACAGTTACTCTGTACAAAGATTGAAAAACTCGCGGAAGGTTAAACAATCTAGAACAGACACTAAAAGAAGAAAAGGAAGAGCAATGCAAGAACAAAGGAGAACATGAGTGAGCAAAGAAGAAAGTAACTACAAAGTAATTTTTTTAACTTTAATTTACATTTTTTTATAAATTTTTAGATAACCAACCACCCTTTTTTTAGAATCTCAGACAAAATTTAATTTTTTTGTATTCTGGGTGTTTCCACATGAATATATTGATATAGAAATTATTGAAGTCATGAAAACGTATCAGAAGCCATAAATTTTCTAAAAGAAAAAATTAAAAACAGTAATCAGGATATAATGTGATTTTTTTTTAAAAATTGTCAGAATAAAAAGGATTTTTTGTTGAGGGAAAAAAATTACGGGATTTTAAATGAATTTGTTAGAACGGATTTGGATTCTTTAAAAATGTTAAAAATTGGAAGAATTCAATAAAGTAATAAAAAAAGGTAAATATATTATAATAAAAAAAGGATGATTTCTCTATAATCAAAGAGGACAGAGGACCTAGGAAAAAGCAGAGCAGAGCAGATGACGACCAAATAAATTAGATATATACCAGGTAGTATGTAAGAAAGTATGTGTGTTTTTTACTTAGTAATTGACTTATACATTTTAGATAACGACCAAAATACATGCCGGTCATACATGACTGACATAGCAATACGTGTTAGTCGTATATAAGTGACATGGTGGTCAATGAGTTATAATAATTAAAATATTATTGATCTTTAGTTTGTAGAATTCTTGGATAGCATATGGCTTCAGCATTCTATTATGCACTATGATGTTCAATAAAAAAGAATTCAAATATGTGAAAATGGCCAAAAATATTAAGAAACAAGCAACCTTTACTTACCATAGCACAGTGCTACAGCAGCGAGAAAGATAACAACTTTAGCACTGAACATTTTGTTTTGTCTCACAAAATTTACGGTGTATTATTTATAGGAATATTTTCAAGTAGGTATAGTCCTTAAAAAAATTGATTGGCACTTTAATCGATCTAATTAAACAAAGTTAAGGAATTACATATGTAAATTTATGTTTAATTCTCATAGATAGCAAGTACGTTTGAACCATAAAGATACATATCGATGGTGTCAAATCAATACCTTCAAAATTTCGAATTTTTACTTTTTCCCATCTATAGAAATTAATTTGAAACCTTATCAACATTATTTATCAAATATTCATTTGGCTGTATTAGGATTAGGCAATCAAGACAGTTTAAGGTTCCTACTGTAAAATGTTTAATTTGGACATACGAGGAATTGATTTGAGACCATCGATATAACATTTTAACATTTAGGTAACATTTTTTATCGGGAATAGATCAATCAGCTTGTGTCGAAGTTTTGTTTGTTATACGGAACCAAACCAACGAACAAACCAACACATAGAACGTCGAAGTAAATACACATCTTAGTACCACCATTGTATAAAGAACTATAGTAGGATAATCGCAATGTAAAAGTTAGTGGAGGCAATCGCGCCCGACATCTATTGGTACAATCATTGAACTAACGATTTTATTTACTGGTTAGATACGCCCTCTACGTCAGATGTTAGAACTTTATAAGTGACAATTCCGTCAAATTAATTGTCAATATATATTTTTTTAGTTATTAAGTTATTAAGATTAAATATAATTAAAAATTAGTGATTTTTGTGAAGAATCAATAAATAATAGCATTCCACAAGATATTCGTCTATATTTAAAAATAAACTGAGATTTTAATGAAACTAAAAACAATCTGATTATCATCGTTAAAAAGTAAAATTTTCTCGTAAGCCTCCATAACGAATATTTAGAGTACTCGTCTATGAATCGAAAGGCTCCGAGTTCAAACCCGCGAGTAGTCACATTTTTTTTTTTTTATTAATTAATTTTATTTTCTAAATTGGTAAAACTTAAATTAATTTCGAAACATTAATTTTACGTTAATGACATCTAAATCTTTATGCTCAAATTTCGTCTTTTTGCTATGGCCACTCGGGATCACCAAATTATAATAGAATATTTATTATAAGGTCCGGTAATTTTATTTAAATCTTTTGACAATGAAACTAAAAATGGAGAAATATACCGAAAATAACAAGTATTTAAATTTTGCTAATAAATTTGTATTAGGTATGTCTTAAAAGAAAATACATCATTTTGGATTTGAATATACAGTGTGTCGCAAAATGTCTGCACCAAGAAAACACGAAATTACATTTTTCTTTAGTCTACGTAAAAAAGTGCGAATTAAATTTTTTTTGCTGAAAATGTATGGTACCTAACAGGGTTATTCATTATAAATTACCCTCCCTTTATGCTATAATTATTATTGTATAATGTTTGCTTTTTCATGTTTACATTATCAACATTAAATTACTCGAGAACAGACGGTATAAGATAGGGTTATCAATAATATACATTTGTGAAATTAGAAAAAAAATATATCCATGAAATTTAATAACATAGAGGGTACCCCATTTAAAAAAGTTTATTTGTGTTGTATTCCGTGAAATCTGAATACGTGTTTTTATGGTATATTTAAAAAAAGTCAGTCATATTCCCAAACTTTTATTTAAAGCTTTTTTTGAATATGTAATAGTGGTTATAAGAGGTGTCTTTAATAATGAATAATCTTGTACATGATATCAAATAAATTTGTTGAAATTAATTTCATTTGTAAAAATGTCACTTCTGCTTCTCCCGTATTGCTAAAAAAAATTGTGTCCAGGTCCAGGATTTGATGGTGGTAAATATTAATTCTAGATACATTTTTCAAGTAACATTATTCTCCTGTTTTTAGAAATAAAGGTTAATGTTTAGCCAAATTCATATATTTTTTTGGACACACAGTATGTTTGTATAATATTAAAAACTTCCCCTACTAAATATTTTGGCTCAATCAAGGTAGATATCGTAAATTGATTATTGTTAGAAAAAGTAGAAATAATATTAAATATAATAAATTAAAAAAATAATTTAATTTAATCATTTGATAAAAAAATTGAAATTTTGGGTTTATATGTATAAAAAATTGTAGATTTTAACTGTTTTTTTTTTAAGTTCTAACTTAATTTTTTAGGGATGCCATCTCCTCCATCTCCCTCTAGGGGATGGTGGTGGTAAGATATTTATACAAAAATGTTGCAAATCATTTCTATTGTAAATGTGCCAAAAATAAGATTTTTGTGTATCTGTAACTATTTTTAAATGCCAGCCCCCATATCCGAACTATGAAGATTAAAGTCGAAATTTTTTCCCAAGTTCAAAAAAAATTTTTTTTCAAAAAATTGTAATTTTGGGTTTTTATGTATAAAAAATCGTAGACTTCAACTGTTTTATTTAAAAAGTTCTAACTTAATTTTTTGGGGATGCCACCCTCACCATATCAGATAGGGGTGGGAAGGGGTGCAGTTTAGTTTCAATATTTCGACCCTAAATGTTAAATTGTGTTTACTTCAATAATAAGAATTCATTTATGTTATTTACCAACCATCTTATGGGTTTTTTTTTATTACATTGTTACGCACCAGATTAAAGAAATAACCTGTTGTTTATAATTACTTATGCTAAGTACTTAGGTAGGTACCTTACCTACCTACCTACCTACCTACCTACCTACCTATAGGTATATGTATTTAAATTAAAAATACAATTTTTTTCAACACTTAAGAAATGTATTATTATTGCTATTATTATTACATAATTTATTTTAAATTGATTCGGATAAAACCTGTAAAGGAAAAGAAAAACAAAAGCATATTTTCTATTTTATTAATTTCAAAACAGTTATAAACACACAAATTTTTAATTCTAATTTTAAAACAATAATTAATAGATAACTAATTTATATCATAATATATATCATTTAGAATGGGACATAGTACAACTGAAGATTATCTGATTAAAAATAAAACTATTAAACGAAATATGCTTAGAAAAAAAACCCATTTTCGAAAGGCAGGGGTTAAAGTTGAAAATTCAAAAATTATTAATGGCTATAATATTTTTATTTTTCAGTATCATTTTACTGAATTCGGTAAACATTTTGGACACTTTCCAAAAACTAATTTAAACTATAATCTAAATTTTTTTATATACTTAAATCATGTAGGTACTCTTGTTGGGAACTCGTCCTTTATTAACAGTAAAATAATTCAGTAATAAAACATAAACACAACTCATTCACAATACCTACTACCCGTAAACGCACTAACTCACAATAACAAACATTAGATAGAAAATAGTCCAAACATTGAATCACGAGTGTATAAAATTTCATCCAAGAGCTAAAAATAGAAATCCATCGATCGGTCTCCGTCATTCTCAAAAATTTCTGCTGGACCCTCAACTCCGCCCACTGCAAACGAATATCGACTTATCCATATTCACTAGCGCCATCTATTGGTAGTATCCATTTCGCTCCAATGAAATTTCCATAAGGTGAGACTACTATTAATTCTTTATACAATGGTCGGGGGATTCCCACTCCGTGAAACAAGAGACCTTTTTCAAGTACGAAATAATTCTCCACAATGCCGAAAGTCTTTTTTAAAAAATTTATTTTACTTTTAAATTACAAAAAAATATTGCTACGATGTTAATCGCATAAAAGCTAACAATAATCTGGTTTTACATTATCATAAAACAACCGAACAAGTGTTGTAATCCGATACGGCACATAACTGAGTTTCTAAGGTATCAGCGTTATTCTTAGAATTCCAGGGATGAATGGTGACATATTTCCTCCCCTCGAAGTTTCAAATCCAGAGAGTTAACGAGGGATTTGAACCTCAGCAAGTTCTTGAGTTTTCTGGTTATCCGGGACTTTTCTATTGGCACATTTTTTGAAACACACAAAACCGATTAAAATAGTACATAATATATAAATGAGAATTGTCCAAATGCTTGGTATGTGTGAAATTGCATGATACGTTGATTTCGATTGATTTTTGATGATATTATTTTTTATTAATTGTAAATCTCTAGAGCTTATATCTTCTAACTTGAAGTGAAAGTCCAATTTTGGCAGGTTAACATCGCTAGGAGTTTCTACAGCTGGGAATAATACAGGTTGACTTAAATTTGTGAAATTTTCTCGGTTAGTTATATTTTTGAAACTGCTGATAATTTGGCAACCAATTGGAATTTCGACAATGAATGTCCCTTTAAGTTTTATAACTTCTTCTTGATTATGGCAGTTGATTTTTATGATTTCTTCTTCTGGCAAGGTGATGGACCATTGATTAGTATGTTCAAATTTTGTGACGGTGGAGTGCTGTATAGGAATGATCGTTTGTTGACAAGTAGATGTATTTTTCAGGCTTAGTAGTTGGATCTCACAGGGATTGGTGTCTTGGATTTCTTGTATCTCCAGATCGTTACAGAAGTATATTTTTGGTAAGATTTTCTTGCAATGGTCATATGTATAAGCGTAGTACAACTTATTTATAACTAAGTATTTATTTTCAGGTAAAATTACCTTGAACTGACTCTTTTCAAGAATGGGAATTGGGTATATGTGATATAGATCAAAATCAATAGAAGAAGTTATTGGAATATGAAGAATATATACAATTCGATTATTTGATATATAACTTTCAATTTTTACCAATTGTTCTATTATCAAAGTATTTTCTAATGTAATTTTCAGAGGTAGTTTATTTTGTGTTAATTCCTTTTGTATATATTTTAATTCTCTCGAAAAGTCAACTGCACTAATTATACTTGGGTGCATTTTTCCTAATTTGCTAAACGTTATTGAACTTTCAATATCTTGAATTATTGAATAAATTATATTATACAAACCAATCATTTGACTGATAATGTCTTTAATGTACAATGAATGTTCAGGTAATCCGTCAATAAATGAAGCAATATGATTTATTTTTTCTTCTAACAGTTTTTCGTTATGTATTATTTTTTGAATGGTGTTGTTGAAATTATTGATCAGTTGTAACGATAAAGAATTCTGATTTTTCACACTAGATGCTAAATTTTCTTGATCATTTTGTAATTGTTCGATTAACCTATCGTAACGTTCGCCATCGTTAGCGTCTAAGTTTCCTGTAATTGTTTTAAAAATAGATCCTAGTCCGTTTATAAGGCCGCGTTTGAGTCTGTTTGGATGTGGTATTATATTTAATAATTGATATTCTATCTTTTCTTCCAAAAATCCTAAAATTTTTAGATAACTCGAACTTTCTTTTAAATACGTTGTATTCATATGAATATTGTGTAAAAGATATGTTAATTTTGAAGACTGAATTTTCAATTTATTTATTTCTATTATTAGGGGTTCTAGATCATAATAATGAATTAACTTATAATAATATTCATTGACTTTTGCTGTTCCAAGTTTTACTGGGATTATGCCAGGATTATCGGATACATTTCGTATTTCTATTCTTTCCATGATTCCGAAGATACCCGGGAAACTAAAAAGATAATACTGGTTAATTTTCAAAACTAAAGGTATTTTTAAGGAACGTTTTATATTGTTCATGTGTATTTCGGGTTGAGTTTTAGTGGATAAAGTTTTGTTTTTATTGTTTAATTTCTTTATATGTGTTAATTTCTTGTGAAAAATGTCGCCTTTGTGAATTTTTATAAATATTTTATGATCCTGTTCAAATATTTTCGGGAGATTTCGTATTTTGTTTACGTTTTGTATGCGCTTTTCTTTTTTCTTAATTAAGTTTTCTTTAATTTTGCAATAGAGTAATTTAGAGTGTTCTCTAGGATCATTTACACAATCGTTAATGAATATTTGAATTGATAATTTCATGAACAGCCAATATTTGTCTTTTGTTCTTTGATGGGTTTCCTCAATTCCTTTATGATTGGATTTACCTTCGTCATAATTTTGGATTAATTTATTTATAATTATTTTCTCGGTAATATGAATTAGTTTGTTGGTACATTTTTTCAATTCCAAAAATGAGTATTTAAAATATTTTTGTAGGGTTACTAAAAACGGTTCAAATAACTCGGCAATTTTGAAATATAAATAGTACTGTGAATCGGGATTAATGTAGTTTTTTATAAAGTCAATGATATCGCGTTCAAATTTATTATGTGGTACTTGTAAATTTATAGGTTTCTTCTTTTCAAACAATATTTTTATTTTGGAATTAGCAGGGGAAAGTATTGAAATAATTATTTTTTTTGAATCATAGTTAACAGCTGTATCTGTAACAGGTATTTCAAAGATAGAAACTTTTACAGTATTGGAATGTACTGTGTGATTGTTGCTGTCGTCGCTTAGTTCATCATTATCGATTATAAATTTATTTTGAGGTTCAATATCAGGTTGAATTTGTGTTGATAATTTGTCTAAATTTTCGTTTTGTTGATTATTATTGATTGTTTGGTCATTTATATCATTGTTTGGTGAAGGACTTGGTGTCGGATTGAAAGGAATGGGGAGAATTTCAGTATATAAGTCTACTTGTGAATTCTGTGTGTTAGGTATATCTGTTTGTTTGGAATTAGAGAATAATTTTGGATTGTTTTCAGTATTAATGTCAACTTCTTTAGGTATTTCGCGTAGCCCTTCCCAGAATGGAGCCTCATTAGTGTGAATTTCGATTAAATTGAGCTCTTTGTTAGTATGGTGAAATAAAAACTTAATTCTATTGTAAGGAGTAACCAAATATCCGTCTTTAAAATCTAAATTTGCCTGTAAATATTTAATATTATCTAATCCAATAAGTCCATTAAATACATTATGAAATTTGAATAAATAAAATTTAAGATATGTAATTTCTGGTAATTGGAATATTTTTGAGGCTGGAATGCTAGCGCTAAATTCGTGAGATGATGTTTGAAAAACTTGTGATGCTATGAATGGATCTTTTTTTATTAAATTTGGAAAATATTTATAAGCAATATCTGGGTCTAAAAAGGATTTTGTGGATCCACAATCAATAGGAATTTTGATGTCATATTCGGGAAATATTATATATGGCAATTCATTCGAATCGATGGTATTAATGGATATTATTGATGGAGTTATTTCTGACGGTTGAAGCATTACTTGAACATTTTCATTGACATTTTCATTATTTATATTCGCAATATTCGAAAGTTCATCATATTTCTGATTATTTGGGTGATACTGATCAGTTTCGAAATAATCAGTACAATAATATGTATTGGAATTATCACAAAAATTATTATGGTCAATTTCTATGTTAAAAAGTTCTTCGGCAACAAAATTTGGCCGCTGATTATAATTAAAATTGCGAGTGGAAGTACTCATTGGAGTGGGTTTAAAATTTTGATTTTGCCTATTGAAATTTGATGGACCGGGTCTAGAATAGTTTACAGTATTTCTAGTTGACACACTCATTGGCGTTGGTTTAGAAAAAACTTGATTATTAGGATTCGGCTTGAAAACATTTGTATTTATTGGCTCTTTAAAAACTTGGGCGTTTGTAAAATATCTTGGTTGCTGAACATTTGCTCTAGGTTGAATATTTATCGGTTGAGATGGAAATGAATTTTGCCTGAATTGATTAGTTTGAAAATTAAAAGGTACATTTTGAACAAAATTATTTCTTTGCTGTGGAAATTGTATTTGTCTGCTTTGATTTATTCTATTTTGTGGTCTTGTAAAATTTTGATTTGGGAAATTTTGAAAATAATGATTATTTTGTTCTTTTATAACATACTGTAAAGCTTGAGTTAAACAGTTAGGCTTCATACACCTTATTGTAGTGCCCAAGGGTTCTTTTAACCCAGATAGAAATGTTTTCAAAGCTAGTTCCTGATATAATGTTCGTTTAAGATTTTTCGCTTCTAGCGTGGTCTCGTGTACTTCGACATAACTACATAAAAGATTCAAAATGTCTAAACATTTGTCAAAAAATTGTTTTGGAGTTTCATTTGGACCCTGTCTTAACATGACTAAATCTCTGTTGAGACAGGCTTCATCTCTCTGATCGGCAAAACTAGCAGTTAAAATTGCTTTTAATTCTTCCCATGTAGTTACGCTTTTTATATTAGCAACTTGTTTAGCATTTCCGCGTAATTTACCTATGATTGAATTTAACAAGAAAAAGTTTTTGAAATTGTTTTGATTTTGGAAATCATAAAAATTGCCAATTAGAGATTCACTAGTAGATAAATATCGACTTAATTCGCATGGATTCCCATCAAATTCGGGAATACAACTTAAATATTCTGATTTAAATTCTTGAGGCATCTCGCTACTATTTAAATTCTCGTTACTATCTAAGTTTTCGTTATTATCTAATTTTTTGTTACTATCTAAATTTTCGTTACTATCTAATTTAGGGTTTTCTTGTGAGTCAGTTAAAGGAGAATCAATACTTAATCTATTTAAATTTTGTAGTAAATCTTCCATAAGTTGTACTTACATTAATATAAAAATGACCTTCAGCATTCCTTAACTATGAAGATGGACCACCAGATCTGCGATTTTGTCTTCTCTGATGAGATCTTCGTGAATCGGGACGATTTTGTTCCAAATTCCGGTGTTCGTCTAGTTCTGAGTTGCACTGGTTCGATGATTGAGCCGGTTTCCTGATTTTTAAGGAGCCGCCAACACAACACGTCTACTTCGCGAAATCACCCTGTATACTAGGTTCAATTCAGTCAATCGTTGAAACGAAAAATTTACGTTCGATACGTAAACTTCTGAGAATCCTACTGACTGCGCCAAATAATTCTCCACAATGCCGAAAGTCTTTTTTAAAAAATTTATTTTACTTTTAAATTACAAAAAAATATTGCTACGATGTTAATCGCATAAAAGCTAACAATAATCTGGTTTTACATTATCATAAAACAACCGAACAAATGTTGTAATCCGATACGGCACATAACTGAGTTTCTAAGGTATCAGCGTTATTCTTAGAATTCCAGGGATGAATGGTGACATATTTTACGGTAATATTTACGTAGATGGTGCTTTGACTTTTATTATAGCTTTTTTTAAATGCCAAGAGGCAGTTTGTTTGTTAAATTTGTTTCGTACAGTAAGAAGAAAACCTGCCAAGTTAAAAAAATTATCGATTATGTTACACATTATCGTTTGACTTCATTTTGAGGTAAAATTATGTTACAATTCCATAATTATGTTACAAGTGGCAGCACTGTCTAAAAGCAAGAGTGAGAGTAAATTGAGATATATAGAGTTTCATCTTGTCAGCATATTCCAATTGGCTTCTGTAGTGGAGGGTGATATAATTCGTGAATTTTTCCAAGGACTACTTTAGAAACATTTTTTGTGAATGACTCACTACATAAGAATTTAATACTGATTTACATAGATACAAATAGATAATTCGTAAATTACACTCGAGTTCAAATTAAATTGATAAACTTGTCAATTCATTTTTTAAAAACAGTGCTTGAAAAATTCAGTATAAATAAGACACCAGGAACCAAATTACTTTGTCAGATCATAACAAAATGTTCAGTGCTAAAGTTATCTTGCTCGCTGCTGTAGCAGTATGCTATGGTAAGTAAATGGGTGGTGAGAGCCACCCATGTATTATGCGATTCTAGAATTTTACGAAGTGAAGAGCAATTAATAATAAATATAATAAACTTATGGATTTCAAACCAGGTATTAAAATTACTTAGATACATGATCCGTTGTAGTTTTTTATGTGGTATCTAAAGATAACAGATGTTTTTTAATAATTTATAGAATTTGTAATAGATATTTGACAAATAAAAAGTACAAGAACAGGGCTCAAAATAAGTATTTTTCGAGTGGGTGTATCTTTGGTAAAAATATTCGTGCAATTTGAAGCTTAAAGTGTCTAATTTAAGGATCTTGCGATAAAAAAAATTCCAACCAACAATTAGCACAAAATCCTGATGAATATCATGTATAAAAAATGTTTGAAAATTTTTTTTTTTTAATTTTTAGTTTACGGATTTGAAAAAAAAATTCTCACTATATGCATTAGATAGGTGGTTCAGTTAGCTTCAATTCCTTTTTTTGAAGGCCTCGAGATGACTCTTCCTTGCTAAGTTATCAGAAAATGAACGAAAATGCGTCATTTCCTCTTCTCTCGTCAATATCTCAGGAACCAATGGCCGCTCAGAAAATGGAAGGGGTGTTTCGGAAACTTCAATTCATTCTCTACAAGATTCCGGCATGTTCTTTCACGAGAAAAAATTTTTTTTCATCCCTAGCATGACTTTGAAGAATTTTGTAAAACAGGTCTTTTTGAGGTTTTTTAGAAAATCATGTGCCACATTGAGAATATTGGGAAAATGACTAATGTTGAGTATGCATCTTACAGGTCATTGTTCTCTCGAAAGCCCTACAAAATTTCAACCTGATGCATCAAGCCATTTCATTGTTTTATGCGAGTGAATTTTTGAAGAAATTGAAGGATCGTGTTTTTTCTATCCATGATATTCATCAGGATTTTGTGTTAATCGTTGGTTGGAATTTTTTTTTTATAGCAAGTTCGATGAACTAGACACTTCAAGCTTCAAATTGCTTTTATTGTCATTCACTTACGACCATTTTTATCAAAGATAACACCTACTCAAAAAATCACAAAAAATCGAGATTTTTTTGATCCCTTAATTTTTTCCACTAGTATATTAACGTAGTAGATGTTGCTATTATTGGAATTTGGTAAGAACATAAAATATCACGAGAAATATTAAAGTTACATCATCTGAACAGAATATAAAATATAAGGTCAAAATAAGTTACGACAATAAGTTTTATATCATCTGAACAGAATATAAGCTATTTATAAATATAAAAATAAGTTAAGAGTCATATATTTCCGTTTAAACTGTATTTCCAGACTGACTTGTAATTCAATTATTTAGTTGCCTCCCCGCGTATATATCAAAGTAATTCAATGATAACACATTTATATTTATATATACAAGAAAGCTTAAAAATATTATTAGGGTAGCTATAATCTATATAAAATAAAATAAGAAACCGGCATTCGTCGGCATGGCGGTAATAAAAAAAGCAAATAGCCGATCTTCTTGGGTTTCCAACGAAATCCAGCAGAATGGGAATAATATAAGGCGATAGAAAAATAGAAACATTAACTGACAGTTATCCCAACGTCAACACACGATAGACATAAATTAAAGATAATCAGTAGCAACTCATTTTAATATATTTATCGGCATAGCTAGCACTTTTGAATTCGAACACCAAAAAGAAAAATTAATTGAATGTTTAAGGTTTTATAAGGACTGGTTGCCCAAAGAACCGCTATGGGATGTGCGCCGAATAACAGATCATGCGCGAACGATGTTTTGTAAAAATCGATAATGACAAGCAGAGTGGTCATATGTTGTGTTACGAGGGGTTATGGAGAAGTTGTTGTTAAAAATAAATTTGAAATTAATTTCACGTAACACCGGCGATAATCAATTAATTACTTTGCAAAATGATGACGTAGCTGTGTTCTTCTAATTGTAATCGGACCTTACTTGTACTATACTAAATATTTTCATAATTTAGGTTTTGTTACTGTGCTACTTTAGGAACAGTACTGTTAATCAGAAACCAGCAGTATATTGTCGAATGGGCAATCCTACCTGTGAATCAGAATTAATTTTTGAACTTGCTGTACTACAGTCTGTTCGCTATATTTACGCGGGTTTCGGATTAACAAAATTATGCAAATTAGTCATTGAACATTTTTATTAGATCTGTTTTTATTAATAATTTTAATCAATTCCAGTTCTCTACATTTTACATAATACCTGTGTCGTCTAAAAAACTTACAATATTTCCATATGTATTTAAACGACAAATTATTTAAAATAAAATTAAACAAGATAGAACCTAACACAGTATCTTGAGGCATGTGATATGCTATAGTCTGTTCGCTATACATACGCGGGTTTCGAATTAAAAATTTTATTAGTATTTCCAGGTAAGTACCCGAAAGTTTAACCTGTTCTTTGGGACAATATCAACTGTTTAAATGAAATGAAAAATAATGTACAACTTTTCAATTAAATAATAATGGAGAATCTCTTGTATACTTGAGAGCAGAATTAAACTTCTTCATTAATGGAGTCTAATGTGGCTATTATAAACCTAATAATAATTTTATATTACACTTCACACAGAAAATATGGTCTATGTATAATAGAATATTTTCTAACATAAAAATTTGTTCCATGTAGAGAATTTAAAATGAAAAATAAAAAAATTGAACTTGCCAACAAAAATGAAAATCAGTCATTATCATCCAAAATATCATAATCGTCATCATCATCACTGTCATCACAATTAATTGTTATTATGATTGGACTTATTTCGTTTATTTTATTTTCACGGGTCCACCAATCTTCTATTAGTTTCTCGCACTTGGATATACAGTTCCGCCACACTTCTGTAGTTGCAATTGAAAGTGCTTTTCGCCAAGTTTCCCGAACTGCGCCGTCACTATAACTATTGTTGTCATAATATTGTTTTGCTATTCCCCATATATATTCGATGGGATTAAACTGGCAATGATACGGTGGCAGACGTAAAACTTGATGACCGTAAGTTAATTCTTTTATGCACGACAGAACTTCTTTCACAAAGGGCCTTTCTGTTATCCTCCTTTTGAAATTTGAAACCCAAGTTATGTATCACTTACCATAGACTTGTTCTGCCAATGTCGTCAAATTTTCTAACTATTAATTCCGAGAGAATTATATTTAAAGTCATATGTTCCTTGTTGGCCCTCATTCGATAAATGGTATCACGAATTTCAAATTTCTTTCCATCTGGAATATCTTTCGTTTTCAATGATGGGCTAGTTTTGCAGTGATCTTCTTTTGGCAGTTCACTATTGTGATTTTGTAATACTCCTCTTAATTTGGTTTCACTAATTCCTAGAGCATCGCAAACGCGTTGTTGTACAGACATTACCGATTTTAAAGGACCGCCATTTTCTTTTTCATCCGTAAAATACTTATGTCACTACAAATTAGACTATCTACATCTAACACACGTCTAGGCATTTTTAGAATTTACACTAAATATACATGCAATGTCAACACTTGCAAAGAATCAATTCAACTGCAATATTTGTAACAAATTTAGTACCTACTCTAATGTTATTTTAATTTAAATCTGACCATTAGGGCAATTTTAACTAACTTCTTGGGAAGAGGCATATTGGAACTGGTTGTCAATGACTAATTTGCATAATTTTGTTAATCCGAAACCCGCGTAAGTATAGCGAACAGACTGTAGGTCGATGGCCATTTAGTTGTAAGGTTTATAACAAAGTAATTTTCTTATTTAAAAAACATCCTGGCCCTCGGTGAAACCTAATAGGTATTTTAAAACAAGAGGTAGTGGAAAAGTCACTATAACGACACTTCATCATATTAACGATAGCTCTGTGGCTATCGTTGATGAACGACACTTAACCCTTCTTAGATTCGTTGCTAATCTGTTTCTATTAATTTCTCAGTCTTCATTTTTAAGTTCTACATTTCATACCACTCCACGTTTAAATACCACATATTTATTTGTCAAATGAAAATATTTTATAATAGACAGCTCGTAATTCGAGTTTTTACATTATTCAAATTTCTGGACAAAAACTAATAATATTTTACAAAAAAAACTGAATAGAATTAAAATAATACACAAAATTATAACTAACTAGATGTTAGGCTGGAAATTTATTCCATTATTATATTCATATATTTTTTTTTAAGGAGCACCAAATGCCCAATTTAGCAACCATCACCTAAAGATTGACGGTGGCATTGACGCCGAAATAGAAGACTTTCCATACGTCGCTTCCGTCCAATTTTGTCCTTATAAATGCTCACACATTTGCAGTGCTATAATCATCAACGAGAACTGGGTATTGACCGGCTCCAATTGCATTAAGTATATTCCATACCAAAAGGTTGATGCGGGAGCATTTTACTTAGCCCAAGACGACAAAGTTACCGTTGACATTGAAGATACATTCGTTCATCCTGACGCTCCATCTGAAGGGTAAGTTTTTTAGAAAAGAAATTTTAACTTGGTGGTCTGGATCGTTCATCCAAAACGATTTTTCTTGTAGACTCGGTCCAAATGATCTTGCTTTACTTAAGTTAGCTCAACCACTTACATTCAACGAAAGAATACAGCCAGCAAAATTGCCCAAACAAGGCCAAGAATTCACCGGTAAAGCTAATGTGACCGGTTTCGGTGACAGTAACCATCCTGACCGCAACGGCCTCCAAACAGCCCGTGATGTAACTCTTATATCTAACGATGGTAAGTATCATTAGCTATTTGGACTTGAACTTTATCTGTTACTAAATTCAAAGAGGATTAACTGTTTCTATTCTATCAAGCTTCTAGCACCCCTTGCAATCTAGATATAGGTACTATTCTCATAAGTACAAAAAATAATCCCCAATTATATTTTTAGTATGCTAGAAGCACACATTATTGTCTAAAATATTATTTTTAAAATTAGACAATAAAATAATGAACAACTTAATTAATTCTTAATTAAATTGCTTGTAATGTTATGCTTCAAAAGAGAACGATATCAACCTTCTTTATCTGTAAGATATTTAGTAATCACTTATAGGGTACAGGGTACGTTAGTCTTGTGAGGAATTTGGAAATATTCTTGGAAATACCTACGATCTTTATAGCCCAATCGGATTAGGTGAAGAACAGGCTTGAGATTCTGAAAAATTCGAAGCAGCAATTTTCCTTCGGAATTCGTTGGAGGGGGTGTGTGGTAGTCTAAATTCAAAAAGTTGGGATTCCAAAGTTGTCGTTACCTCCGCCAGCTTGATTTAAAGGGTTATTTTTTGTATCTTGAATAACTCATTTATTTTCAATTTTACACGGAAAATAGTTTTTACAAAAGTTATTTAAAATTAAATTTCCTACAATTCTGCTTTTTTTGTACGATCGATTTTTTTCGATTTATACCCGAAAAGAGGGGGTGAATTTTTGGTTATAGAATAACTCGTTTATTTTCAATTTTACGAGAAAAATTGTTATAAACAAAGTTGTTTAAAATTAAATTTCCTACAATTCTGTTTTTTTTTTGTCCGCTCGATTTTTTGTATTTATCCTTGAGAAGAGTGGGGGTAAACTCTTAGAAAAAATCGGAATCATAATTGTACCAAATAACATTTTTTTAAATCAGCCAAAAAAACAAACAGAAAAAATAATGGTACAACGTCAATAATAAACGTGACAATACAATACTTAGGTTCACCCCCACTCTTCTCAGGGATAAATACAAAAAAATCGATCGTACAAAAAAAACAGAATTGTAGGAAATTTAATTTTAAACAACTTTGTTTATAACAATTTTTCTCGTAAAATTGAAAATAAACGAGTAATTCTATGACCAAAAATTCACCCCCTCTTTTCGGGTATAAATCGAAAAAAATCGATCGTACAAAAAAAGCAGAATTGTAAGAAATTTCATTTTAAACAACTTTGTCTATAACAATTTTTCTCGTAAAATTGAAAAGAAACGAGTTATTCTATAACCAAAAATTCACCCCCTCTTTTCGGGTATAAATCGAAAAAAATCGATCGTACAAAGAAAAGCAGAATTGTAGGAAATTTAATTTTAAACAACCTTGTTTATAACAATTTTTCTCGTAAAATTGAAAATAAACGAGTTATTCTATAACCAAAAATTCACCCCATCTTTTCGGGTATAAATCGAAAAAAATCGATCGTACAAAAAAAAGAAGAATTGTAGGAAATTTAATTTTAAACAACTTTGTTTATAACAATTTTTCTCGTAAAATTGAAAATAAACGAGGTATTCTATAACCAAAAATTCACCCCATCTTTTCGGGTATAAATCGAAAAAAATCGATCGTACAAAAAAAAGCAGAATTGTAGGAAATTTAATTTTAAAGAACTTTGTTTATAACAATTTTTCTCGTAAAATTGAGAATAAACGAGTTATTCTATAACCAAAAATTCACCCCCTCTTTTCGGGTATAAATCGAAAAAAATCGATCGTACAAAAAAAAAGCAGAATTGTAGGAAATTTAATTTTAAACAACTTTGTTTATAACAATTTTTCTCGTAAAATTGAAAATAAACGAGTTATTCTATAACCAAAAATTCCCCCATCTTTTCGGGTATAAATCGAAAAAAATCGATCGTACAAAAAAAAAGCAGAATTGTAGGAAATTTAATTTTAAACAACTTTGTTTATAACAATTTTTCTCGTAAAATTGAAAATAAACGAGTTATTCTATAACCAAAAATTCACCCCATCTTTTCGGGTATAAATCGAAAAAAATCGATCGTACAAAAAAAAGCAGAATTGTAGGAAATTTAATTTTAAACAACTTTGTTTATAACAATTTTTCTCGTAAAATTGAAAATAAACGAGTTATTCTATAACCAAAAATTCACCCCCTCTTTTCGGGTATAAATCGAAAAAAATCGATCGTACAAAAAAAGCAGAATTGTAGGAAATTTAATTTTAAATAACTTTTGTAAAAACTATTTTCCATGTAAAATTGAAAATAAATGAGTTATTCAAGATACAAAAAATAATCCTTTAAATCAAGATGGCGGAGGTAACGACAACTTTGGAATCCCAACTTTTTGAATTTAGACTACCAGAGACCCCCTCCAACGAATTCCGAAGGAAAATTGCTGCTTCGAATTTTTCAGAATCTAAAATACTAATCCGATTGGGCTATTAGTAGTCTAGAGAGTTTTGATATTGCAGTGGGTCGATGTTCAACCAGTTCACCGTTGGGATACTTATTGTTCTCTCTAGCATTTAATTTCAGCCTTCTACAGAATATTTTTTTCGATCGCTGAAATAAAGAATTATTTCATAATCTTTGATTACTAGATTTGTATGCCTTTAAACATTCTAAAATTAGAGACCATTCTTGTTCTAATGTTACCAAAAATGTCACCAAACAATACGTTTTTTTTTTCTATCGTTTTAGATTGCCGCAAAGCCATCAAACAAGTTTCACCAGACCAAGTTTCTAATTTAGATGACAAGAGTAATTTATGTACGTTAAGCAAAACAGCAAACACCTGCTACGGTGATGTCGGTGGTCCTTTAAGTCAAGACGGAACCGTCATCGGTACAGTCACGTGGTACTTAGAGCCATGCGAAACCAGCGGAGCTCCAAATGTGTACACCAAGCTCTCTAACTTCGTGGACTGGATCGAAAAAACCATTACCGAAAATAGTTAAATTATATAGTTTGTTAAAAATAAAGAAATAATTTATTAAAGGTAGTTAATTTTTATTAATTTATAGTCCGTTCAATTTATAGTAGAAAATCGTGTCGCTTTAAACATGAAGGAAGGTTGTGTATTAGCCGGAACAGGGACGGTACTCCCAAATTAATGTTTTCTGTTTGGGGAACAAACATAATAATATTAATATCTCCTTCCATATTCAAAGTAAAAATTAAAATAGTTTACTTAAAATTAAAACTATTAAATAATGGATCAATACATAAGAGAATTTGATATCCCAGAAATAGAAACTTTTGAACTAGATGATATATTTCAATGTAAGGAGGCATTAAAAATAAATGAAAACAATAAAAAATTTACAATAATTCACAATAATATACGCAGTATCAATAAAAATCTCGATGAATTTAAAATGCTCTTGAACAATATGGAAAAGCCCGTAGATTGCATAGTACTCACAGAAACTAGAAAATTACCTGATCCAAACTTGTTTCAAATCTCAAGGTATAATTTGATTTAAAAAAGCAGTAGGAACCGACGAAATACAAGCAGAAATCCTAAAACATATTTCAAAAGAAATTGCGGACCCACTCAAACACATTATAAAAATATGCTTTGAAGAAGGTGTATTTCTTGATACTTTAAATGACACAATCGTAACACCGATCTACAAAAAAAGGCGATAAAACTTAAGTTAATAACTACCGACCAGTATCTTTGACAACTTATATATCTAAGATCTTTGAAAAGATAATAAAAAAAATAGAATCACTTCATATATGTCTAAGTACAAAATATTGTCTCCAAAACTGTATGGTTTTAGAAAAAATACTTCAACAGAAGATGCCATCCTAGCGTTAGTAGAAAAAATATACAAAGCTCTAGATAAAGGTAGACAATGTATATGTGTATTTATGGATCTCACAAAAGCTTTTCATACTGTAAGTCTTGAGCTACTCCTACAGTCTATAAAGATATGGGAATAAGAGGAAACAGCCAAAAAAAATTTTAAGAGCTGCCTTTCAAATAGAAGGCAGATTATTATAATATTATAATAGAGTATGGTGTTCCTCGAGGTACTGTTTTTGGACCTATACTTTTTAATTCATATATAAACAAACTTTTTTCAATACAAAGCTGCGGTGAAATAATTGGATTTGCTGATGACACAGTAATATTTTATAAAAAAAATAAAATACTTACCCATCAGTTGCAATGCAGGTGGATTACTAGAATTTCAAAGTATACCTTTGACTTAATTAATAATTGCATGGCTGCAGGTTGTTTTTCAAATGTTTTCATGGTAGGTATTGTTAAACTGTCACATAAAAAAAGGAAGTAAGTCAGAGATGTCAAACTATAGACCGATTTTATTGATATCAAATATAGTAAAGGTTGTTGAGAAAGTTCTTAAAAAGAGAATCGTAAATTTTTTAGATAAACATAATTTAATTTCACAGTGTCAATATGGCTTTAGGATAGGTAAATCCACAGAAGACGCAATCTATGCGTTAACTTCATATATAAACCAAAAATTACATAAAAATACGCAAAATTTATGTATATTTGAGGACTTGTCAAAAGCTTTTGATACGGTTTCTCATGTGAAACTTCTTGAGAAAATAAGGTCATATGGATTAGGAGGCAAAGTGTTTGAATTAATATTAAGTTATCTTTTAGGACGAGTCCAATATGTGAAAATTGATAGTGTCGTCAGTGAGCCTGAATTGGTTTCTTGTGGTGTTCCTTAGGGCACAGTAATGGACCCATTATTATTCATTTTATATATAAATAGTTTATTAATGCTCAACACCACAGGAAAGATTATGAGTTTCGCAGACGACACTGCAATTCTCTACGAGCACTTGAATTGGAGTAATTTAAAAAATCAAACAGAAAAGGATTTTAAGAAAATAAAATAAGGGTTTCAACACAATCTTTTTACTCTAAATATTGAAAAGTGTATAATATTTTATCTGAAAAAGAATATAAATATCTTGACATATATATATTGATAGACATTTAAAATGGGATTGTCACATAAATTATACAGTTAAAAAGCTACAAATTATTCTCTATAAATTTAAATTTTTAAAAAAACATTTGCCGCTAGAACAACTTCGAACTTTATACTATTCTCTTGTAGAAAGTCATATTCGTTATGGTATTGTAGAATGGGGTAGTGCTCTGCATAGTCAGTCACATTAGTAACCTAGAAATAATACAACACAGATTTTTAAAATTAATAATGAATAAAAATTTTAGATACTCATCAGATATACTTTTCGAAGAAAGCAAAATATTAGATATAAGACAAATGTACTTTGTTTCTCCAATTTAAAATATTAACCTACTAGACTCACAGCTATAATACCATCTCATACTTTCCTAACCCGGACTAGATCAAACCATATTGTACCCTTGGTGAAGAGATCTTTAACTCAAAGGTCTTTTTCATATCTAGGGCCTAAGATGTATAATCACTTAGCAGAGGAAGTGCAATCCAAGGTTACTTTCACTATTTAAGAAGCATTGATGTTTTCGTATTATAATAATTTATCAAGCAATATTTATATCAGACAATTCGATGGTATGATCCATTTTTCTTTCTTTCCTTATTTTTTAGTATTATTATTTTTTGAGAGAATTATCTCAGGTTAACCTGGGTTATTTTTGCAGTATTCTGGGGTGCTTATTTGTGTTAAGTTGTGTGTTACATTCAGTTGTTCTAGATGTTTTGTAAGTGTAAGTGGCACAATTCCAGTTGCAGATATTACTGGTGGGTGTATTTTAACTGCATTCACTCTCCACATTTGTTTGATTTCCGTAGCTAGTTCGAGATATTTATTATTTTTTATAGCATATGTGGTTTTTATATTATGACTGAGTGGTACTGCTACGTCTATTATTGCTACTTCCCTCTTCAATTTATCAAAGACTACAATATCTGGTCGATTAGCGCTGATGCAGATGTCAGTGCGTATTTCTCTGTCCCAGTATAGTTTGTATTGTAAGTTCTCTAATACAGAAGCAGGATCGTATTTGTAGTAGGGTTTGTCTTCATTAATCAGTCTCGAGTTCTTCGCTAACTGTACAATTCTGGCCACATTGTTATGTATCTGCGAGTAGTCCATTGGTGCTAACGTTTGATATCCGCCTATAATGTGCTTAACGGTTTCGTTTGGTGATCCACATCTTCTACATTTGTACACGATATTTTGTTCTTTCAATATAAACTTTCGGTAGTTTTTTGTATTTATTACTCGGTCTTGTATGGCGCCCATGAATCCGACAGTCTCAGAAAATATCAAATAGAGTTCCCCTTAGATATAGGTTTGATGCTTCAGTATCAGTATTTTCGTGGAGCAGGTGATGTGCGTGACTACCGTGCAGTTATTTTTGCTTCCATCTTTGTTTTTGGGACTGGATCGAAAATGTATTATCTTCAGGGTTATATTCAATATCACTTAGTTTTAAAGGTGTGCTTTTTGTATTTGCTTGACATACTGCTCTAAACAAGGTCTGATTAGTGGATTTTTCATGGAAGTATTGCCTGAGAGACTTAATTTGCGATTGGTGAAGACGGTGGATATCTAGTATGCCTACACCTCCCACATCTGTCGGTAATGATATTCTTTCTATAGCTGAGTTGGGATGGTGCATTCGATGTTTTGTTAATATTACACGAGTCGTTCGACATATGGATTCCAGGTCAGTAGCGGATCATTTTACAATACCAAAGGAATATGTTAGTGTCGGTATCGCATATGTATTTATAGCTTTTATTTTGTTTGCACTGGTGAGGTTTATTTTGCATATTGCTTGTATTCTTTTTTTAAAGTCATCTATGACCTTATCGTTGTCCATAAAATGATTAGAGCTATTTAAGGTCCCTTTTTCAAGATCAATTATTTTGCATTTATCTAGTCCAAATTCCATATGAATAGAGTCACTGAAAGTTTTAGTAATATTTAGTAGAGTATTAAGTTTTGTTCTAGAGTTTGCATATATTTTTAAATCGTCCATATATAAAAGGGGGGATATTTTGCAGTTATTGCCATGTTCGTTCTTAATAATAAAGCCATATTGCGTGTTGTTTAATGTTCGACTTAGTGGATTTAAGCACATACAGAACCATAGAGCACTTAGTGCGTCTACCTGAAATATTCTCCGTCTGATTTTGATCGATCCTGATTTTTGAGTTGTCTTGTCTCCTGATAAATGCAATTCCGTTGACCAGTTGTTCATAAAAAAATTAATGTCTCCTTAATTGACTTCTGATAGTTGACCAATGGAGAAATATAGACGTTTTTAAACATATTCTTTTTAAATTAATACTTAATACTTTTAGTCAGTTTCAATTTTCAATATATTTTTTAATTGAACATGTTGTGTTTGGAAATAAAACCTTTGTTATTTTTTTTTATTTTAATACAAGTCTCAGCATGTTATATTATTTATGTATTTTAAATGTTATTAAAAATCCTATGTACATATTGTAAATAAAGCATTTTTGAAATGAATGAAATGCATGTTATATTTTTTTCAATGCAATTTAGACCGCAAAAAGATCTTTGTAGAAATCAAATTTTAAAAATTATCTTTAACATTTGAACAAATAAAACTTAACCTAAGCCGGCTCTGGTCAGGATGTTGGCGAACGATTCAAAATGTTTCCAGGTCATTGCACTTTCTAGATTATCTTGCAACGTACTATACGGACATATTTTGCGGGCTATCGGGGAGGTACAGCAAATAGAAATTTGAGAAAGGTTCGATTCAATCAATAGGAGACGCTAAAATTAAATCGAGCAGACAGATTCTCATCATATAGTGATGCCAGGCATAAAATATTTATTTGATACTAGCTTCCAGCATATTTGCTCGACGTACACAGTCATTTAGCTGTAATATAATTGAACACATATCTTTATTTTTGTAGTTTGATAACTGAATTTTCTAAGCTGAACGTCGGCGGTGTCTTTGTGAATTATATTTAA